ACTTCCCTTACCTACATTCTTCCTTTGACCAGAGGCTGCTCACCTAGGAGACCTGATGCGGTTATGAGTACGGCCGGGCGTGAGAGGTACCCGCAGCTCCAGATTTTCAAGGGCCGTCGGGGGCGCGCTGGACACCACAGGACGCGCAGTGCTGTATCGGGCGCCGCAGCCTATCTCCGGTTGATCCGATTCCAGGGTGGGCGAGCCGTCATGAAGGAAAGAGAACTCTCCCCACGGTCCCCGCCGGCATCTCCGGAGCTGCTTACGTTACCGTCCACCTCCACAACCCCTTTCGGGAATATTAACCCGAACCCCTTTCGATGTGCGGCGCGCAGTGCGCCCTTGATACAAGGTTTCCACATCTCTTAGGGCCAACTACCCATGTCCAAGCGTTGTTCACATGGAACCCTTCTCCACTTCGGTCTTCAAAKTTCTCATTTGAATATTTGCTACTACCACCAAGATCTGCACCGGGACCTGCTTCACCTAGGCTCACATTCCAGGCTTCGCAGCAGGCCCCGCGCCCTCCTACTCGTCGCGGCGTCCCCGACAGCCGAGCATAGGTCGCGCGCTTCAGCGCCATCAGTTTTCGGGGCGGATTGATTCGGCAGGTGAGTTRTTACACACTCCTTAGCGGATTTCGACTTCCATGACCACCGTCCTGCTGTCTGTATCAATCAACACCCTTTGTGGTGTCTGGGTTAGCGCGTTGTTTGGCACCATATCTCGACTTTCGGTTCATCCCGCATCGCCAGTTCTGCTCACCAAAAATGGCCCACTTGGAGCTTTCATTGATCCTCGGGGTTCGCTTAAGCAACCCCAAAATCTTACCTATTTAAAGATTGAGAATAGGTCGAGGGTGTTTCACCCCCGAGGCCTCTAATCATTCGCTTTACCCGATAAAACTGTTCAACAGCTCCAGCTATCCTGAAGGAAACTTCGGAGGGAACCAGCTACTCGACGGTTCGATTAGTCTTTCGCCCCTATACCCAAGTCCGACGAACGATTTGCACGTCAGTATCGCTGCGAGCCTCCACCAGAGTTTCCTTTGGCCTCGCCCTGCTCAGGCATAGTTCACCATCTTTCGGGTCCCAACGGGCATGCTCACACTCAAACGTCTCACAGCAGATCATGGTTGGCGGATGGTGCACCCGCAGAGGGTTCCCGCCGATCAGGTTTCTTCCGCCTCGTGGGCTAATCACCCACCGGCTCACATGCACGTTGAACTTCTCGGTCCGTGTTTCAAGACGGGCAGGATAGAGGAATTTCGCCAGCATCCCGAACACGCAGGAACCCGAACGGGCCCGCCGAAAGAGGYGCGTGCTCAAGGTCCTCGACTGCCGTGACGGCCACCCGTGGGGGGATTCAATCACTCCCCACCGCAATGCCGGTCACADCAGCCCATGCTGGCAGGCACCCCACGTCCAACAAGGGGGGCGACAACAGAGTCGCCGTCCACCCCTGCCCAGACGGGAGCGCACGACTTCCCCTCCATCCGCTTCTCGCTCGGCAATTTCAAGCACTCTTAAACTCTCTTTTCAAAGTTTTTTTCATCCTTCCCTCGCGGTACTTCTTCGCTATCGGTCCCTCGCACATATTTAGCCTTGGATGGGACTTACCACCCAATTGGGGCTGCATTCCCTTCTTCGGCATCCCCTTCTCGATCGACGGGGCTGTCACCCTCTTCGGCATCCCCTTCTCGGGAACCTGCACATGGCCCGCTGCAGAGGTTGCCTCTCAAGACCACAATTCAGGGAGCAACACAGCCCCCGGATTTTCAGTCTGGGCTATTCCCGGTTTGCTCGCTGCTCCCAAGGGAATCCTCGTTGGTTTCTCTTCCTCCGCTTAGTTATATGCTTAAATTGGGCGGGTGCTCCCRCCCGACCTGAGATCAAAAGGCAAGGCCCGACGTACCTCCACAGCTCGAGGCGGACACCACCAACTGCAAGCCCACCTTAAGCTGATGGGAGCGAATGGAAGGCGGCGACCACACAAASCGGAGGGACGACCTTACGTGCTGTTTTCAGGCAAACGAAGACCACAACCCACAAACGGGTGCTGGAGGGCAACCATAGGGCGGAGCGAAACGGACCACTCTGGGCTGCGGCCCGCACAGGCCCGCTCGGAATGCTCTCCAATTCCCTTCCACTTTAGGCTATCAACGCTCTCCAAGTGGGGAGCGAGGGAAGCCACGACCACGGACCCCACCACTCTCCGAAACGGAAGGTGCCGAGGTCGTGAGGAATCCAATGATGCTCAGGCAGGCGTGCCCTCGGCAGAAGCCCTGGGCGCCACGTGCGTTCGAGGTATCGATGGCTCACGGATTTCGGCAATTCAGATTCAGTATCGCATTACGCTGCGCTCTTCATCGTTCCGATGGCCAAGATATTCGTTTGTCGAGAGCTCAACAATATGGTGCCGTTCCGACTAGACCGACCCGTCAACCAGAACAGAAGGGGCCGTTAACCCCGACAGCGACAAATCAGAGTAGGTACATCAATAAGAAGTTGCATAGCCGTCGCTACCAGCCGCTGTCACGGGCCCGCCTGACCCCCCGTTCGGGGGGCCAGGCAGGGCACCGGGGAGCAGCGGGGCAACGAGGGTGCAAGCGCTGTCTCCTCCCCCC